TCAGTGCAACAAAATTCATGAAACATTTTTGAGTTGAAATGACACTTTTTCAGCTGTCCTATGTTTGAACATTGCAACCAATCAGAAGTGTTTTCCAACTATTAAAAGTTCTTTGAATTTAATTTTCTTGCTTCTCAGGCAAACACATGAAGTTTGATTTGGATCATCAAAGTTGAAAAATTGATGCATAATTCTTTTTATTGTACTGTACCGTATCACTGTAGAGTTAACATGAATGTGAGGTTTGCGGATATTGCGATGCAGTGTGACCCCTTAAACTGCTTGAAGAACTAACACTGTTAAACAGTGGCCGACGCTAGGACAATCAATGCAAAAATAATACAATATAACAACATTAAATAAATAATGAAACCGGACGTAAGCAATTAATAAATTTTAATCGTTCCACCTTCATGCCGTCGACCTAGTTTGTTGTTGTTGTTCCTTCCGCGATCAAACGGGACCATCAGTCAAGAATGCAAAAAAAAACAAACAAATAAAATAAAAGCAGCAGCAGCAGCTAGCACAGATGACCAGCAGGAGGAGGAGGAGGAAGACACAGAAGAAGCATCCGCCAACGAATTCAAGTAGGAAGGAACGGTTCCAGATGAGAAAAACCCCCTCTGACGATTCCTACTATCGTTCCGTTCATCTTTCCCACCTGCTGCTTCTGCTGCTGCTGCTGATGGAGGGATGCATTACAGTACCATCATCGTACAACAACACCACCTTCACTCACTCGTTCAATGATGACAAGTTAGCACAGTACAGTACAGTATAGACTCCGGAATGACGATGAAGAAACGCCAGGGGATGATGATGGGATGATACCCAAACGAACGAACAAAAACCCAAAAAAAAAAACTACACAAATCACAGGAAAACCGAAATTGGTTCAAGATAATCACAAAACGCGTTTTAGTTACTTCCATTTTTTTTCTTTTTTGTTCCGCCTCCTTCCGGTGAGAATTTTCCCTTACGTCTTTCACACGCGGGAGTAAAAATGTCCGAGAATGGCACAACCAACTGATTCTTTTCTTCTTTTCCTCTCTCTTCGAAAGTAGAAAGAAAGAGGGCTGCGAAAAACGAGAAGAATGATGTGGAGGAGCAGAAATGTCCTTGGCAAAAAAAAAAAACAAGAAAGAGAGGAAC